TCTCCTTTTGTCTCAGGGCTATTTCTCAGACACAGTGATGTACTATGGATACTACTGTAACTACACACTGCGTAAGAGCTGCAGCGATGATGTTGGGGGGCAGAATGCCTCCCTGTCCAATGGTACCAGATTGGACTGCGTGTCGAAGCACCACTCTTACAACATGCCGCTTGCATACTTCTTCACCATAGGAGTGGCTTTCTTCATCACATGTATCATCCTCGTTTACAGGTACGAAGTGTTTTTTTTTTTTTTTTAAAGAAGATTAAAATGTGCGTCTAAACGCAACTATACTAACATAACTGGTTTAAAATTTCAATTTCCCAACAGCATGTCAAAGTCATTTGGGCAGAGCTTCCGAATCGACAACTCTCACAGTATGTTGGCCATTAAGGTCTTCTGCTCCTGGGACTTCAAGGTCATTAAGAAAACCTCTGTGAGACTCATGTCTGAGAATATTGGCACCCAGCTCAAGGTACATGTAAACACAGACACTTGAATTTATAAAAACACATCCTCCCTCTTTTTGTCTCTTCCTCTGTCACAGAATTGGCTCACAGGAATGTGATGATCTAATTAAATCTTTTCCTTCTTTATCCCTCTGTTTCCCTCACAATATTCATCCTCTCTCCCTCTCTTTCACCCTTTTCCTCCCTCAAATTATCTTCCTCTGTCTCTCCTTCCTCCACCCTCTCCAGGAGCTGCTAGCAGAGGTGAATCACAAGAATGTCAAGAACACTGCGTGTCAGAAGCTGTGGAGACTGATGGTTCATGGCCTGGCATGGACTATCTGCATAACAAGCACCGCTGCCTCTGTGTCTGCTATTTACTACTTCTCTAATCACATGCACAAGGTGAGGTGGGGTGGTTTCAGGGTCCAAAGTCAACATTTACTGTGGCTCAAAAGTTTTTATTGGTGGACACTCAGACTTCAGGCTGTATTTGTTGTCCTTTGTTATACAGTCTTTTGTCTTCATGTTTATTAAAGCAGCCATGAATACGTACAGTATGCCTCTGCTGGGAACCATACTCTCTGTCAGACTGTGGTCCAAGCAAATCAGTAATGCTTCTGTATATCAAACAAACTACTGTATAAAACACGGTTGCTTTATACAAACAGCACCATCTAAACATCTCTTTCTGTTTCTACTGTCCTATATGAAGGACTTTCCGACTTGCAGGTGACCACTTGCTAATAGTTAAAAGCAGTAGAATAACAAAAATGTGCGAAAAATAAATATATAACAATTTCTAACAGACAGAAGATGACAACCAGCAGTGACTAAAGAGCACATCATCTAGTTCTCGTTCTGTCTCCCCAACAGAAGCTCGAGCAAAGATCTCATAGTGCCGTCAAGAACCCCTTGTTAAATGAGGCCAGCCTGCTGGCGCTCCCCGTGGTGGTTTCCCTCATCAACCTGCTGCTGCCCGCCCTGTTCAACCTTGCAGCCTGGATGGAGGACTATGAGTCACCCTCTGTACGCACATACGTCGCCATCGGCAGGTACGAGCCGGGAGACTGGATGTTGCAAGCTCACAGATATCAGGGATTATGGTTTAGGTTGGTAACGTTTGCTGTCTGTGTTCTAGAAACTTGATGTTGAAAGTCAGTGTGCTTGGAGTCTTGTGCTACCACTGGCTGGGTCGGGTGGCTGCTGATCCTGCAAGTATTAAACCGAAGGTAACATAATTAAATCATTTTTACTTTCATACAATCATAGCCGCATTGAGGATTATTAATAATCTCGATTATTATTTGTTTAATAGCTGACTCTGTGCTCTCTCTCCAGTGCTGGGAGAGTTTCGTTGGTCAGGAACTTTATCGCTTCCTAATTATGGAATTCATCTTCACTCTACTGGACACCTTGTTTGGAGAGTTTCTTTGGAGGTTGGTCTTTCATGTCTTTCTTTCCCCTTGTTGTTCAAGGTAAATAAAATAAAAAAAAGTCCCACCGAATAAATCATTTGTAGGTTTTTTGTGTGAGCCTAAAACTCACTTAAGTTCTTCATTTGTCCATTTCTTTCTGTTGTGTTGCTATATTGTATTAAACCATTGCACTTCTTCTTCTTTCGTCTGCAGGTTGTTTTCTGAGAGGGTGCTGAAGAGGAGGAGAAAACCAGTGTTTGATATCGCCAGGAACGTCCTTGAACTCATCTATGGACAGACGTTGGCCTGGTACTAAACTTACTGATCAGATGTACACACTGTTATGTTAAGTCAGTTTGTTTGTGGGTAATGACAATGAGCATTATGTTTTTCAGGTTGGGTGTTCTCTTCACTCCTCTCCTGCCTGCAGTGCAGATGATCAAACTCTTGCTGCTCTTCTACATCAAGAAGGTGCTTCAATGGAAAACAATTCTATTATATTGCTCAAAATAAAAGCTTAAACTGAAATGTCCAAAAGAAAAATGTATAATAAATGTATGTTTTTAACTTCATGGTTAAAATGATCCCTTTTAGTGGTGTGCCATCAGAAGCTCTGAGCCTATTAGACAGCTTCAGATTTTTGCCACCTTTGGACACTAGATCAGTTTGGATCTGTAAATTGTATCAGTATAGTAACCATACAGTATGCGTTGTACACTCTTTAATATGTATTAATATATATATCCTGGTTGTATAGTATAGTTGTTATTAATTCTCTGATGTCTTATTTTTGGCATTTGAAGTTCATTTGTGACCTTGGACACAGAAGTTTGATAACAAAATCTGATTTTCTGATTTTCAGACTTCAGACTTCCTCTGACAGTTGTGATGGAAGCAGTGACCTTTGACCTTTGTGTGTTTTTTCTCCCTATAGGGTAGCATAATGATGAACTGTCAGGCTCCCCGGAAGCCATACAGAGTCAGCCAGATGACCACCATCTTTATCACCCTCCTCTGCTTCCCCTCCTTCCTCGGTGCCTCTGTGTGTGTCACATACACAATGTGGAGGTACTAACACACACACACACTCACACGCACAGCTTTGTGCTGTTGACCCATCCTAATGTCTTATTTAAGTCTGGAAAACAAGTTACTTTACTGAACATGACAAATAAACGTACATACACACACACACACACACACACAGATGTGCCTCAGGGGGCTTTACAATCTGGACAACATTCACTACTATCCCACTAATAAAGTACCAAAGAGTTTACTAATGTAAATGTTAGCAAATGTTAATAACACACAAGGAGCTTTCCAGCTATGTGAAAATAAGTCCATTATTTTGTGTATCAGGACACCTCAGAACCACACTTATACCATACTTATATTATTCAAGCAGAGGTACTGTTGCTATGGATACCTGTAGTTAAAATACACTTTGCGCACTGATTTAGATCAAGGTGTTAAACTGTTTACGAGAAGGATGTCTGAGCTCTCCTGTTTTTAAATTTTATTGGATACTTGGCAACCAATTTAAAAATAAGGTTTTTTTCCAGGGCCAGGGTCAAATTATCCTCAAAAAAAGGTATAATAAATGTCTTGTGTGACTGTGTCTGTCTTCTGTCCTCAGTATCACGCCCTCCTCGTCGTGCGGTCCCTTTCGCGAGCTCAAAACGATGTTCCAAGCAGGGAAGCGCTGGGTGGAACAACTGGAAAAAGATAATCCCAACCTGTCCGTGCTGGCCAGGGCTCACGCCTACCTGGTGGAAAACCCTCTCTTCCTGTTTCTGGGAGCAGGCATCTTCCTGTGAGTGTACACACAAACACATACACATACAC